CAATGTGGGCAAGACCTGGTGGCCTGATGCATATATGGTCGTGCATATTCCATATGGCATCTAGCTGTCTGAACTTTTGACAGGAGTGCTGAAGGGTATTCTGTGGCCCAATACGATGTGAAGCGGGGTCCGGAAATGGACTTCATGACGAATGCTGGTTTCAGGCTCTTTGTCGAAACTACGTGTGCGTGTGTGTGTGCCAGCATGTATGTACCATGAAGTTCATGTCTCCAAGCCAGCTAGCTCGTCCACTGAATCCCGGTGTGAGTCCATGCCGATTGTTAATTGCATTGACTATCTCGAGCCGAATCTGTATCCGAGTTTGGCTTTATGGACCATTTTGAATGAAACCCCGGACGCCTTGAACATGATTGGACCCGATTGTGCCTCTTGGGGACTGGTGGCCCGCTCCGTGTCTGGTCGCTCTTACATAAACGCGAGTGGATTCGCGAATCGAAGCTGGGTTGTTCACAACAATGAACTTATAGCCAGGATGCTAGGTTGCAGTCATATGTTTGTGCTGTTTCGAAGGATGCCTGCTTTTAGCAAATATGTCTTTGTGTTGCTGCGGCCGTGAAATTGCTCAGGCTGGTTTTGCTCATATTGGTCATGCTGGCCAAGCAGACGACCTTCGTGGTGGAGCAGCCCCGTGGATCACTACTGTTCCGCCACAGTAGATGGGAGTGGCTTGTGAATCGGGTCGCTGTGGCTTCTGGGTCGCACTACTTTTAAGTTACACACAATTGTAAGCAGTTAACATCCGGGTATTGTGGACAGCGGTCGGTCCGAACAGCCTAGGTATTCAGCTGCAGCTTCTGGATGATGTTGCATGGTGCACCATCTCCCAAACCGACTACACTGTGGAGCCCCATGAGTACGATTGGTAAATTAGACCGTGGCAGGCTGACCAAAGCAGTCCGCACTCGCAACACTACAACACGAACGGTACGTGCCTTTGCAAAAATAACACTATATAAGCAGTATTGTTGGCCTTGCACTCACCCAGCCCAGGTAGGCATGTGGACAAATCCGGGAAACATCGCTTCACGGGGGACAGTAAGAAACTGAAGCAGTCCGGGCGGCTTGGCGCCAATAATATCCTGCAAAGCACGTACATGGTTCTGGGGCTCCTATATAACCACCTGCTCAAAGGATCTACACCGCTCAGTTTGCCAAGAACCTGCTGCTGGCTTACGAGGAATGGTGTGGGAAGCCTTCTTCAGAACGTGGGGATCTCCGAACTCGAAGATCTGTAGATGAGCAACGCACAGATCGGGAGTTGTTTGGGGCCATGGATACTGGAGACATGTGGTTGGATTCAAGAATCCATGAAGTCTTCTTCTATCTCTATGGGTGCAAGCATTGTGAGACTCTCGCCATGAATGTGAGGGATGATCGACAGCCTAGCCCCGGAAGCCCATGGCCCTGCTCAGTTGATCCCTGAAGCCTGAAGCCCTAAATCCTCTAGGTATGTTAGTCCTCGAACAAAGCGGGTCGCCGAGGATTCCCGACAGCTGGCTGGAAGCGATGGCAGCATTTCATGCCGATCTTCGAAGCAATGTGTCCTTGGTTGCATCAACCAGCCCCAAACCCAACTTGGCGATTATAACATCTATAGTACCCATCAGCCCTAAGCCCCCTAGCCCCTAACCTTCTATGAATTAAGCTAGCTATACCAAAACCCGTGAGCAGAAACCCTGGCCCTAGCCCTCAATCCGAACCTCCGGTTGAAGATGATCCTTCTAGTGTACATATATATATATGTATATATATATATAATATATATACATATATATATATATGTATTATACAGTTCCCCTAAGAACCCTAGGCCCTAAACCCTAAACCCCTAAACCCTAAATTAAAACGGCAAGCTAGCCGAGGCATTGCATGATACTGGATCTACAGGTTCAGCCAAGGTGGTCGTGCCTTCTGCAACAAAGACGTGAAATCCCTGAAACTCCCGTAAACCCCAAGCACCAGCTAATCGCCCTCGTAGGGCCTCAGGACTGAAGCCATTCGTGGTCTAGATCGATTGCAATGGGGGTTCGGGGGTTGTGCTATTCTATATATATATATATATATATATATATATTTCCTATAAGTTAATATATATGTACGGTGGGTAAGTAGACTTTATAATTTTATTACATATCCTACCGGTGCAAGATCCCTGTTTCGGTAGAGCTCCAGCTTGTTCGGATTTGGGGCTTCGTACAGGGGTCTTTCAAGACACGTACATAGTGAGTGGCAGGAATTCAATGCAAAAGTCGGGGGGTGGGGTTGGGTCTATATAGTTCAGGTCGGTTTTCAGGTCCAATTAAATGAAACTATAGATCCCATGTAGCTTGCCTACAATTCTGTGAACCACGACCCCGCCAAGGCCCCCCTTCAAAACCCCCGGGCTAGACACTAGACTGGGACAGGGTTGGGTCTACAGACAGCTAGAAGGGAAACCCGGGGTCGCCGAGGCCCTCGGATCTGCTGAGCTCCGCCAGGAGCTGACAGCGCTGTCCTCTTGCCAAGAGGCGAAAGGAGAGGCTTGAGCAGTTTTAAGTTAATTTGAGCTGTTTTGGGTTTAGGGGGAAGTTCGGGCAGAAACCCAACCCGCAAACCGGGCGCATATTCGCGCTAACCGGGCGCATTTTCCCGCAAACGGGCGCAATCTCAATTTCTGCCCGAGGGCTTCGTTAACTTTCCAAATATTATGAGCGCTTTTGCCTGAACCCACCCTCGAGGCACCCAAGCATAGCCCAATTCGTAATCGATGGACATGCAAGCACCGACAGTTCTGAGAAAAGAGTCAATTGCATATGATGACCAACGAGCATCTGCAGCCTACTTGAGTTTGGCTTTTTGTTGGCTTGTGCTAGATTGCTCAAGCTTTTGCTGTAAGCTGGCAGCTCATGGCCTCTAGGCTTTGGTCCTGTGAAACATTAGTGGCAGGGATCCCAATGGTAGCACCAATGGACGTTTCTAGCGCAGCCCCTGCAAGTGATCTCCAGGCCAAGATCAATGCCACTTGTCACATTAAGTAACAATCTACATGATATGTATGCTGGCCAACCTTATTAAGCCGACTCTCAAGTGAACCCATCAAGGCTGCCAGGGCACGCATCACCCAGCTTCAGGGTGCTTTGCAGAAGCACCCCAGCAGCGCCTCTTTGGATGGATCCGTTCCAGGTGGGCTTTCAGTCTTGTGTGGGTTTCAGCTTTTGGCTGGCTTTGGACCACCCCCACTGTAGCCAGCTAGACGCCCCACCCAAAGCCCCTAGTGTGGAGCTTTTAGCTAGCTTAAAGGGTCCGGCTTCGGTTTTGGGTCCAAGTTGGCTTTGGGTTTGGGCTTTGGGGTACGGTTTGGCTCCCGAATATTAATGCGTAGTAATTTAGAACATGAACCCTTGACGGATAGGCCATGATCTTCGATCTATATTGATTTAGCTAGATATAGGAACTAAGTTTAAACCACAGTCCCCTAAACCCTAAACCCTGAAACTAGCTATTTTTCCATGCCTATGCACCGGTTTCTTATCTTAAGGTACTGTGAGGTTTGGTCATGTGGCCTCTTTGAGATCTTTGCACTGCATTGTAGGTTTCCGTGGGTACCGAGAACTATACACATAGTAGTTGATATGTATACGTGTGAACAATATATGGGGGTATCCGAAAAGGGACCCTAAGATAGCACCCTAAATAGTATAGGATCCCTATATTATAAGGACCCCAAAATAATTAAGGTACCCCTAATTTTCGGCCACTCCCATATATGATAGGTAGATATACACACGTACATACCGATCAGATAGATGGGTAGGTAGATAGGTAGCTAGCACGACATTACTAGACACAAACGGAAAACATATAGGTTGTATTTAGTTATCATGAGATCGAAACAAACAACGAGAGAGAGAGAGAGAGAGATATATATATATATAGATGTATATATACATGTGAACACAAGGGTGAAAGTATATGTATGCCCGTATGTATCTTTAAATTCCACACCTTTACGACTCTCGTTGTGCCTGTCCCGATCTCTACTTCGGGGGCACTATGTAGTACACCTATGCAGTCTTTATACAATATGTATATATATATATATATAATATAGATCTTCGAAGAGTGTATTATATGTGTTTATGTATATCAGTGTATAAACTTAATTAATATATGCTTCTTAAGACTAATATACTTCTGGATCAACAGGAGCGCCCTTCATCGCGAAGCCAGTGAGCACTCCGATGATTGCTGGCAAGCACCCTGCCGAGCTGACAACTTTTCGTGTCAGCAGCCAGGATGCTCAGGTGGAGCTGTCTGAGGCTGCAACCCTGAAGTTAGGAGAGACCTTTGAGAGCCTGGACAAAGCGGCCAAACCGACCCCTCGCCGCCGTCACGTCAAGCCAACCCAATCCCCGAAGTGCGCTCCGCCTGTAGCAGGGCCGACACCAGGCGAAGCTGTGCCTGTCGAGGATAAGGGTTGGAAAGACTTGGCCAGAACCCCTGTGAGCAAGCGAAGCCGAAGCAAAGAGAAGTTGCCGAGCCCCGCCGAGTCTGCTGCGGCTTGCCCGCAATATGTACTGATCTACGTACGTTGTAGTCTCGATCGCACTAGAAGGCCCAGAGATCACCACACTTATAAATTATATGTATCCGAGGCCCATTCGAAGTCCTCCTGCGATGGAAGTGACGGGTCTGACTGCAAGAAGAAGCGGTCCCAGTCCCCAACGTACTGGAAGATTCTTAGCTTGCATAAAAACATGTACATGCATAGTTTAGCTGCCTTGCATGATGATCAGCAAACATCCAGGCTCCGACGCTATTTCACCCCGAAGGGCTGCGGCACCCTCAAGTGTTCGAAGGAGGCCCTTGAGCTCTACCGAACGGAGTCCGGCCGCTCCTGTGCTACATTATAAATTTAAACAATCGATGAGACGAGACACAATGGCAAATAAGGTCAGAAGCTAACGGAGCTGTTCAAAGCCCACGGCTCGTTCAGTGCTATGGAGGTTCAGGTGAAGAAGTGGAGCAAGTCCGTGCTGGGGAAGACACGGGCGGGAGGCTATTACACACGCTCGTATCTTGCTACCCAAGCGGGCTGGACCAAGAGACTTATATGCATTCTAGATGTATATAATATGTACGCATTCTATGGTACATATGTCACACGAGGAAGATGGTGGACAACGCCTTCAAGTGGGCCGCATCCCACGGCCTCATCCGTGTCAATCCTGTCCACGGAGAGGAGGAAGCACGCCTCGTTTTGAACGAGACGTTCCAGCTTTGCGACGAGACAGGCCAGTCGATGGATCTCACCGGCAACATGGAAATGGAGGACTAGCTTTCATACTGATCTCACATGACATTGCCTGAGTTGCCTGTGCCTATCACCCAACCTGTGCATGTGTGTCATACTATAGGATGACACGGGCTTTCTGATGACTGCTGACACCCCCGGCTTCGACAGTGCCCCCGAAGCTTTGCTCTCAAATGTGGGAGCCGGAGCCGCCTCGAGTTCGGGCGCCACTGCAGCAGTTGTCACCAGCCAGGCCGCCTCCTTCAAGTGCCTTGGATCTGGGAAGTTTGCAGGTGTCGGGAAATTCGAGTGATGTCCTTAATAGATCGACAGCATTCCGAGGATCGTCTTCCCGACAGTCTCTCAGAACGAGTCGCCTGTATCCATATTGGGCAACTTTGTGGAGGTGCTGGGGAGGAAGGTTGACAGCTGCGAAGACCAGCTGGAGATTGCATGGGGTAATACGACTTTTTATAGGTATACAGTAGGTACCTACCGATTATATCCTGCATTTAGATCTTTAGAACAGAATGCAGCATTCACCGTACCGATTGCAGGAGATGTTGGACTCCAAGAATCCTCGATCGAAGGCGTTTCTCGATGGCATATATTTCTCTGTGTACGAGCTTATAAAGATCCTTCTAAATGTACCTTTATGCTTCGGTGTTTGAAGGGCCGGAGATCGAGGTGTAGGCTCGAAGTGATGTACTGACTAAAGCTAACGTGTAACCCCTACACCCCTCCGCCTAGCCCCACTCCCTTTCCTAGGCTTCGTGAGCAAATGGAGCTGATCTTGCAGAGCTTGAAGAAGCACTACTCCCAGCTTGCCCAGAAGCAGGCAGACATCATCACGTCCGTCCCGGACCAGCCCCTACCCCGGCAATAGATAGTCTGTCTGCTCTGCCCGGGAACATCTACACTATAGCTGTATCGTCTAGCTCTGATAACCCAGGTCATTCAACGACGAGCTGCTCAAGCTCTATGCTGACATCACGAAGCAAGATGTGTTGCTTGGGAATTACGTGACACGCGCCAGGACCCTCGCCTGAATTTCCAATGCCCCCAAATCATAAACCGTAACCCTAAGCCTTAGCCCCAAGCCTTAACCTTCATCGAGAACAAAGCCCCAAAAAGCGTGAGCCTAATACAACCTTAAGTCTTGAAACATGTCTGCAGAAGATATCGAACATACTCGATCTAGTGGACGTCGGTTCTTCATGAGTACAGCACTTTCCAAATTAGTGCGATGTTATGTAGCTGTATATCCACACCACCCCCGAAAGCATCCCCGTCACAATCGATAGTGCCAAACTCAGAACTGGCCATATTTATTTCTTGGCAAGCCAAGGTCCTTCCAGAGCCACCACGGGGGTCGTAGCTATCAGCAGCAGTATAATTTTAAGATATGGCACTAGTCGTGGTCATCATCGTCCCTGTCGTCGTCGCCGTCCCAGGGAAGCCGACTTCCCCCAACATTATAACTACATATAGCTATAAACAACATTATACTGCCACACTATTATATTGATGCTGGTACTACTGCTGCTGCTACTACTACGACGACGAGACCAGTGCTACTTCTGCTACGAAGATTACGACCGAGTATTGCGGAACCTAAACCCTAAACCCTAAACCCTAAACCCCTAAACCCCTAAACCCTAAACCCTAAACCCTAAACCCTAAACCCTAAACCAATATCATTCCTTAGGGTTGCTTTTTAAAAAGC